GGGCGCGAGTCACGTCCCAGCTGCGCCGCGCGTCGATGCGGACGGGCATCGCGCCGGCCTGCGGCCCGCGCTCTAGAGTGATTGGCAGCCACTGGTAGCACGCGTGCGTGATTGCGTTGAGCGACGCGTCGCCGGGCGGCTGGCAGTGGACCCAGTTGTCGCCCATGTACATGAGGTGCGGCGCCGCATGCGGACCGTGCGGTGAAGCGTGCTGCACCACGTACGCGGGCTGAGTGTAGCTGAGCGTCGGCGCCGGATTGCCCAGTCGCGTCCAGCGCGCCCCCTCCAGCGCCGCGCCGCTGCTGCGCCATAGCGTCAGAGGGTTCGAAGCCCAGCCGCTTTGCCCAGAGGTGATGACGTAGTGCAGGCCGTGTAGCTTGAACATGGCCGGGGCTTCGCACTTGTCGCGGTTGCGCCGTCTGCCCGCACGCCTCGGGTTTGGCTCGCAGAGCTTCGAGATGACCCCCGTCGTGTGCAGAAAGTCGTCGCTCAGGCGTGAGATTGCGATGAATTTGTGGTCGACGTCGCGCAACAAGTACGCCCTTGCCGGCTCGTCCGGGTCGGCGAACAGCGACATGTCGAGCGAGCTGTGGTTGTCGGGGAGCAGACTGCCCGCGAAGGTGAACGGTCCAGCCGCCCGGTCTGCGGTTGCCCTGCCGACGCTCTTCATCGGGTAGGCGCTCCTCACGGCGGAGGATCTGTGGCTCTGGTAGTGCTGCTTGGGCTGATCGAGGTGGAACCACAGCACAAACTGCCTCGTGCGCGGATTGAACAGCACCTTGGGTCTCTGCATGATCCAAGGGCCCCGGAGACCGGGCACCACTACATGCTGCTGGCGCAAGATTGTGCCCTCAAACCGCCACGGACCAGCCAGCGAGGCGGACGAGTAGCAATTGATGCCCTGCGTCAGATAGTCCACGGTGGGAGGCGTCTTGCGGTTCGAGACGCCTTTTCGAGTCTCGCCATACAAGTACCAGATTCCGTCGAGCGGCGATCGGAGCACGCACCCACCATGCGCCTCGACTGAGTTGCCGTCCGTGTCATTCCAGCGCACGTCCGACACTATCTCGTGGTGCGTCGTCGCGTCCAACGAAGGAATGAGCGCGACGAGCACGGCGAGGATCATGGCACTTCAAGGTGCTTGTGCCACAGCGATGCCTGGAGCGTGACTTTTTTCTGAGCCAGCCTTCGATGTTATGAGGCAAACGCAAGGCGGACACAAGCACTTCGGTGAGAGAAAAGAAAAGACTACCGCTACAATGGATGCCTCGCGCTCCCGCGCCAACGCCGCGCGCCGCACGCCGCGGCCGCGGCCGTCTGCTGACAGCGCGCCGGGTGGCGAAGTCCCAAAGAACGTCCTCAAGGCGGCCGAGAACGGCCGGTTGGGAGCGGTTCGATCGTGGCTGAATGACGGCGGGAAGGCCGACACTCTCGCTGAGCGATCCTCAGAGGTCAGCGGCCGTCCGGTTCCATGCACCCTGCTGATGCTCGCCGCACAGAACGGGCACGCGCAGATTGTCGAGCTCCTCCTGAAGCGCGATGCCGACATCAACCTGCAAACCAGTCTCGGCACCACTGCGCTCAGCACTGCCGCCTACTACGGCCGCGAGCGAATGGTGGAGATGCTGCTGCAGCACGGTGCGGAGATCGGGACGGCGCTGGTATCGTCCGCCCACGGCGGCAAAGAGCGGGTGGTCGACCTGCTGCTGCGGCGTGGCGCGGACATCGACCTGCAATACAAGAACAGTGGCTCCGCGCTGATCTCGCCGCCTC